GGACATTTCACAAACAGGTTGCCAACACCATGTCTCCACCTCATGAATTGCTTCCACTATTGGGCCAGAAGGACCCATTTCAACCAGATCCCTATGCTTTGGTAGGTATACATATATAGGAGGAGATCCTTCTTTTAGTCTTGAGGTTTCAATGCATTTAAGGCTTTACATGTCATCAACAACACCTTGAAAGAGACAGAAAGTTTACTTCACAATCCTTTTGCCTCCCAACTGCAAAATGTTTCCAGGACTTACACAGCAAAATCAATATGTGAATGTTTAGCTTAACTTAAATTCTATATCAAAGAAGCACTGAATCTTTCAGTTCTTTATTTTATGTATGTATGTGAATGTAGGTGTCTGGAGAACGAGAACCACAGTAAGTGTATTGATTTTAGTTCCTCAAAACATCTGGGTCTTCTCATCATCCCAGCCATCCTGCTAGAAAAGCAAACACAGCAATACATCTTTATGTTCAAGCTGGTGTATTAACCAATTATAAAATGTTTTTGAATGCTTTGGTCTTTCTGGAATTCCCTCAGAAAATCTATCAAAGGATTCTGACATTTATTGCAGTGGATAAAAGTTTTTCAGTATCTCTTGTATGAAGCAATGCACATAGTTCAAGATCAAACAGAGGAAACAAAGAATAATACTTTTAAAAAAACGACTTGGTTCCATCCAAGAGAGTCAAGAGAGAATAGCCTCACATTTTGAGAGAGATTCTGTGAAGCAGTGAATATCCCTATCTAGCAGATTTGGGAAAAGGCTCAAGTTAAAAGGGTTAAGAGTTCAGCAAGTTTTTAAAAGCCATTTCATGAACTACAGTCCCAGCCCTCCATGTGTAAATAAGTTACTATTTCAAAAGTAACTAACAATGATGTTGCTCAAAAGTACCTAATTTAATTACCTTTGTAACTTTTAACTACCTAAATGATGCAAGACACTTGTGGTCCAAAACCCTCAGCGTTTCCTCACCATCCATAAACATGATGCAGCAGCATAAAGTGAAGTCACACTTCTGTAACAATAAAAGTAACTGAGAGTTATGGCTACACCACAAAAGGAGGCACCTCGGGGGGCACTCTTGGGCAGCTTGCCCAAGGTTACACTGGCCAGCTTTTTTCCCTGCAAGGCACAATTTGCAGTGGTAAATACATTGCTGTGAATGAAGATCTGCATATTTTTTCGTTAATACAGTTTTATCTTCTCTTCTCTTTGGCTAGGTTGTAAGGCAGCTTTAATGAGTGAAACTCAGTTTTAGAAATGCACCCAGGTATTTCCGCATGTTTCTCTAGATTAGGGTTAATGGTTTTTAAAATATGTTATTATTTGCTGAACAGCTGCCTAAGATGCAGAAGGTGAACAGGGGCAGCTGCTCCCCCTATCACTGCTCTCACCATGCCTGGAAAAGCTGCAGCTGTTCAATTTCTGTCCATCATAACACTAATCAGGAATGTGGAAGACAAAAATATAAAGGCTACACTGTTCCTGCTGAAGGTTTTCCAAAACATCAGTTAGGACTGGGGAAGGTGGGGCCCTACATATGAAAATCAATTACAATACCCATCAGTCCCAGGTAGCACAGCCCATGGTGAAGGATGATGGGATTTGGGGCCTAACCAACTCTGGAGGGCCCAATATCATCTTGGTTTGAGATCCAGGCTGGGAAACTGCCAGCCCATGTTGGGTTTTAGCTGCCCCACAGCCTCCCTTCCTTGCCCGCTCCCCTGAGCCAGTGTTGTGTAATAGCGGTTAAGACGACTGGACTTGAATAATTTAAGGTTCAAGTCCCTGCTGAGGCACAAAACTCCCTGAATGACCCTGACTCGGTTACTCTTGTCAGCCTGGCCTATCTCACAGGGTTGTTGTCAGTATAACATGGAAAACTAGGCCCACTTCAGTTCAACGGGAGAGGCAAGATATTAAACAGTATCAAACAAGCAAATGTGGAAGGGGAAAAAGGCTTCCATTTCCATCAAGTGAAATTGTTTTTAAATCTAAGTGCCAATGGGGGGGGGGAAGGTTCTTGGAATTTTTTAATGGTAGTGGTGGGGTAATGGTAAGGTGACAATTAAACGTAGCATTGATTCCACAAGTCCCTTTCAATGCAATTGTTGCACATGAGAACAGTTCTGAGGAGAGTAGCAACACACACTGAATAAGTTTATTTCCTTTTCTCCTAGCAGTCATTTTGCCCAATAGTTCCATCTTTGTGTGACAGGCCTAGGGAAAAAAAGTTTAATATGGTGATAACGGAAGTGTTATCCTAAGCCGAAATATTGTGCCTGTCAGCACAGAACAGCAGGTGTGCAGTGGTATATTTGGAAGTTATTGTGCTCATCATGATAGCCCTCTTAGTCTTCCATTCATGATTCCCCAAATGCAGAAAAAGCCAGGTCACCAAATGAGCAGGTCTTTTCTAAACTTAATGACTCTTATTATTCATTCAAAACCACTCTCAAAGATTTTGTTATTACAGCAAGAAGAGCTTGAAATATTATACTGTTCACTGGAAAATGCCTTTTTCCCAATCATTTTGAGGACTTCAAATGAGCTCAAAAGAAATGGCAAAGTCTGTGTGAGTGGCAGATGACTTCATAGCCACGGAAAAGCCCTGGGGCTTCTGACTTTATGTCAGTTCAGAACAGTCTAAAATGTTAAGGGAGGATTTCAGAGACAGACAGACAGACAAAGGAAATCCATAACAAATTATGGAAAGGGCCACAATTACTGCAAGTTTCTAATCAGTTGTGGTGCTACATGTTGCTGATTTCAGCTTTCAAATACTGCAAGCACGTGATTCTACGAGCCGTTTCTGAAAGCTTTGAGGTTACAGATTGAAGTTCAATGTAGGGGTGGGAATTATACTGTAAATAAATTACCTGTTCTGGAATCGACAGAAACCTCACAAAAGTTTTCCAGAACTTTCTTTTAGTCTGAAAATTACAAAACCATGGGATAGTGTGTGAGGGTGGCTTTTGTTGTTATGCACCATCAAGTCAGAAATGACTTAAGGAGTGGTTTTACCAGTTCTGCCTCACCAGTGAATTTCCATGGCAGACCCATGGAATCAACCCGGGTCTCCTGAGACCTAGTCCATTACTCTGTACTAAGAGCGGAAGAAGACATTATTGCTGGACATGGGGAAAATGCCTCAGACTGCAGTTTGCAAGACTAGAAGCAGTTTTCAGGGTAGCTCAGGTTTTATTTGTTAATAATTAAGGGAGCAACCACCAAGGAAGTTGCTGAAAGGACTTGCAATGTGTTCCTTTTGACTAGCCTACAGTTGTGAAATTATGGAAAGATGTGAGCAAACATTAGCCAGGGCCAGCAAACATGTGAGAAATGATCTTTCCAAGTGCTAGCATTATGACACATTCTCAGAATACTGAGCAGGGAGAGGACATTTGGATGAGAAAATAATCCTTGGTTGCTCAAGGACAGGTACTGTGCAAATCAGGGAAGAGAACATGTGAAACATAGTCCAAATGTCAAAGAGTTTTTATTATGTTGCTGAATCCTCCTTGATGTGTCACCCAGGAAGGAAGAACAAGAAAGCAGGCGCTGGGGTTGTTCCCATGGCTTTCTCTTGCTTTGACACTCTACGCTGCTCCACAGGACCCAATCTCGCCTGCTGTGCCACTCAAAGAGAGGTGGCAAGGGAGCAGGTACAGCAATCTAGAAGGTGAAATATAGGACTCTGAGATTCCTTACCACTCTTTTCTCCCTTAAGATGAAAAGGTAACAAAGAACTACCTCCGAGAAGGTGAAGTGGCTGCTCTGTGCACTTGCACCCTTACAGTCGAAATCAAGCAGGCTGGTCCTCATCCTGTGCACAGGTCACAGGGTACAGGCAGAGGTAGCTCCTTGCATTTCCTGTGTCTTTAGTTTAAAAATTACACACCTGTTCTGGCAGGCCTTGGAGGAGCATGAACATTGGTGGTGTTTCTTTAACTCCACTCTTGTTGATGGGATTGTAATATTGATTTCTGACTTGTTTTCAATATTGTCTTGTTTTGTTGAGATTAGCCAGGTGAATGCTGATAAATAAATGAAGGGAAAAATGGTGGTGGGGGGGCAGGAGAGACAGCACTCTGCACTTCTCTGGCATCCAATGAACTTAATTCTTCCCACTTCATCTGCTCAAGCAGATGTGAGGATGTACAGCTTTCCAACTGCTGGACTGCAGCTTCCATCATCTCTCCCCATGGGCTGCTTTGGTCTCCAGCAGTACCTGGAGAACCACACATGAAACAGAGCTTGAGAGATAGAAAGAATGAGAGAGCCAGTGAGCGTGCAAGAACAAAATAGAAGGTACCATCGTGGTCCTTACTTGCTCTCTGTGCCAAGAACCATCGTCCTTTCAGCCCCGTCTAGAAGGTGGAACAGAAGTCAAGAAGACTCTCGTTTCCTACGTTTTCTTTTCAAGAGAAAGAGAGGGACCCTGAAGGACTGAAGTGAGGCAAAGACAGCCAAGAAGTCAAGAAGACTCTCGTTTCCAACGTTTTCTTTTCAAGAGAAAGAGAGGGACAAGTGGACAAAGATGGCCATCATAGGAGAGATTCATGTGCTTTTGCGGAAGGGCTGTGTTCTAACTGTGCCGGGCATTTTCCTGTCTCATTTTCCTGTCCAGCATCACTTTCTGGGTGCCTCTCCTGTGGGACCTTTCTTGAACACCTGGGATGCAAGGGCAGCTATTCTTTCAAGCCACCATTCCCACTCATGCACTTTGGTCAGTGCAGACAGAGGAATCCCACTTGCGCTCCCTGGTCCCTGCATAGATGGAGAGGAGGCGCTCACAATTTGCTGGAGCAAAGGTTCCAAAAGTTCCTATTTGGACAACAGCTCCCATCATCCCTCATGGAGGCTGTAGGTCCCTAGAGCTGCATTCCCGCCGAAGCAGCATTTCCAATCTCCGTGTTTGGCAGGCCCCTGAGCAAGGAGGTTCACACGCATATACATATTTGGTTAGAGGTACTGGGGAGGGAAGACGTTACCTTGGTCCCTAGGTAGAAATCGTCCTTCGTCTGCGTGCCCATGAAAGGGAACTGCATGTGCGTGTGCGTGTCAATCCCTCCGGGCAAAAGCAGCTTGTCCGAGGCGTCTATCACCCGGATCCCCGCAGATGATGGCAGCTCCAGCCCCGGCGGCCCCATCGCTCGCACGACCCCGTCCTCCAGATACACATCAGCCAGCTGCGAACAGTCGTCGTTGACGACTTTCCCACCCCGGATCAAGATCTTCTGCATGGTGATGGTATGTCTTCTGGAAACACTGGGGGAAAGGCAGGCAGAGGTTCCAGCGGGGCCAGAACACACCGCAGCACTTTTTAAAGTTTCCTCCAGGCCACCCGGGGCAGCCCTTCGCGGCCGCCTGTGTCTGCCCCCCCCCGCGCCCGCGAGTTGAAGCTATTAACCCCTTCCACCCTGCAGCAGTTTTACACGGACTCAGTGCCAGGCCACTCCCCCCTGCAACTAGCTGCTTGTCCGCACTGGCGACCCTTGCTTTGCGCCAAAACCGGTGGGAGAATACTAGCCCTTTAAAAAAAAAGGGGGGGGGAGAGAATGAGAGGAAACTAAAGTTCTCGCACTTTCCCCCTCCGACTCTGCAAATAAAACACATAGGCGCACACATGGCTACGACTGCCAGTAGCATCTCATTTCTTTAATCGTACCTCCTTCTCCTCGCGTGCGCCAAATATACTAGTGAGACATTAACTTATAACAAGTTGACTCAACAGGTTGCTCCATTCGTTGCGGGGGCGGGGGAAATATAGCTTGATAAAGCTGGCTTCTCAAAGTACTAAAATAAACCAAGTCTGATTCTACAAGCATGCTTGGAATATTGTGGTAAATGTTAATTGTAAAGTGTTACTTTCATGTAAATATGCCAAGGATGGTCCTCCACCGTTCCTAGAAATGAAATGCAACTGGCTTAAGTCCAAGTTAAGTGTGCAGAGTTACAGACTTATACTGTGAGAACATTTGTTGCTGCTTCTCTCGGAAAGCTGAGCAGCTGCAAATATAAAAATACCAATACAGATTTATGGAGCTTCAACACTCAGTAACTCCATGTGACTGTGTTTGAGTCAAAAGACTTTGCATGATTTGTTTCCAAAAATAATAATCTCGTTTTTCACATTAAGTAGATCCTCTTTTAATTTTTTAAGTTGTTTTTAAAGAACTCAGCTATCTACCTGGTACAAGTCAGTGGCACCACTCTGCCTGAGTCCATGTGCGTTTACTTGGAAAGAAGCCCCACTGGGTTAATCTTACTTTTTAGAAAAGTGCTTCGGAGTGGAACCTGAGGCTCTTATTAGAGGGCGCTTCCCAGTGAACCTCAGCGGGGTTGTCCACGGGTCGCGGTGCATGTTGGGAGACCGGAGTTTCTGCTCCTGTTTCCTCTCTGGGGGGTCTGGGCTGAGGAGGCTGCGGCTGCAGAGATGGTGAGTAGGGGAGGGGCACGTTGGTGGGATGATGCGGGGAGAGAGAGAAAGAGAGGGCTTGTGGAAAGGCTCATCAAGCCTTTCCTAAATTACCAAATGTGTAGTAGTGGATAGAGTGACAGACTAGAACACAGGAGGCCTGGGTTCGAATCACTGCTCAGCTAAGGAAACTCCTTTGGTATGTGGAATTGGTAAAACCATATTTTAAATACCACATTTACCTTTAAAGACCTGTCAGAGTTGCTACACATCAGTGCCAACTTGACAGCATAGATCATACACATCAAGTGCAGCTGCTGGATGATCAATTAAATTGGAAAGAACTTCCAAATAAATAATCTTGTTGCAAAAAGTGGGTAAAAAGAATAGCGAAGCTAGCAGGACCTGCATTACATCAATGTGCGCACTGGATGGGGCAGTTCTAAGAGTTTCTGAACTGGATTTCTACAAGTGCAAAATAACCTAAGTACTTGAGTCACAATGATTAACCTGAGCTATGACACAAGTTACTTCCTTCAGCATATTTCAGAAATCTGGCTGTGTTTTGCTTTGAACGGGCAATGAAATACCATCCGAAAATGTAGTTTGTGAAATCTGATTGGACCTTGGTTTCCAAAGTACTTTGTTCTCTGTGATGAGTTCAACAGTTACTTTACAGGCAAAATAATTTCTAATGATTATTGCTAACTTAAGAATCAACGTTTTTTAAATCATAAAATCAGTCTTTTTCCATCAAGCTGTTTTTTTTCTCTTTCAATTTCTCATGCTCAGTAAGATGCTGTTGTACATGCTGCCTGCCACATCATCCACAGAGTAAAGACTTTCAGTGGGAAGTAGTCTTTGTGCATGGTGAATGACTCATGCAGCATATTTATTCACTACTCAGCTAAGGAAACTCCCTTGGTATGTGGAATTGGTAAAACCATATTTTAAATACCACATTTACCTTTAAAGACCTGTCAGAGTTGCTACACATCAGTGCCAACTTGACAGCATAGATCATACACATCAAGTGCAGCTGCTGGATGATCAATTAAATTGGAAAGAACTTCCAAATAAATAATCTTGTTGCAAAAAGTGGGTAAAAAGAATAGCGAAGCTAGCAGGACCTGCATTACATCAATGTGCGCACTGGATGGGGCAGTTCTAAGAGTTTCTGAACTGGATTTCTACAAGTGCAAAATAACCTAAGTACTTGAGTCACAATGATTAACCTGAGCTATGACACAAGTTACTTCCTTCAGCATATTTCAGAAATCTGGCTGTGTTTTGCTTTGAACGGGCAATGAAATACCATCCGAAAATGTAGTTTGTGAAATCTGATTGGACCTTGGTTTCCAAAGTACTTTGTTCTCTGTGATGAGTTCAACAGTTACTTTACAGGCAAAATAATTTCTAATGATTATTGCTAACTTAAGAATCAACGTTTTTTAAATCATAAAATCAGTCTTTTTCCATCAAGCTGTTTTTTTTCTCTTTCAATTTCTCATGCTCAGTAAGATGCTGTTGTACATGCTGCCTGCCACATCATCCACAGAGTAAAGACTTTCAGTGGGAAGTAGTCTTTGTGCATGGTGAATGACTCATGCAGCATATTTATTCCAGATATCCTGTAAACAGACTGACCAGTACAAGTGTTATGAAGAAAATACTCTGAAGTGGAGTGAGAAGTCTCCAGCCATAAATATAGTATCTCTGTGGCAGCCTCAACTGTAAAATGATCACATGGGAATTAGCATATAACCCCCTGTAAAATACTGAACCTACCTACACATATTCTTCACTTCCATAAGAACTATAATAATTCATGCCTAATTCATCCTACCAGTAAGAACCATTATTCAAGTAGTGATTAAATCTGAATACGTTCTGATGTTGCTCTACCTCTGAACCAGGCCCAGATACGAGGAACAGAACTATTATTTTGGAAAATTACTGGGAAAAAAAGTGAGTCCAAGTTAAAAGTATAGCAGCCTTTCAGTATTACCATACTGTATTTTTCCATTTATAACATGCCCCCATTTATAAGATCCCCCTTTTCTAACCCCCCAAATTATGAAAACTTAGCTTTGAGGATTCAGCCTCTAGGCTGAGAACGTCAGACATTTTGTCTCTGTTGAATCATGGGCCTACAGGCTTCACCTCCAAGGAGGTGTGTTCCAATTGGTTTGTTCAGGATCAGCTGATGTCAGTTCCATAAGGCTCGTGATTGGAGGAAGCTAAGTTTCCTGACTGTAGGAAAGTAAACCTCATGGCTGAAGGAAGCCTGTTTACAGAGGCAAGGTATGTGCTGTTTTGTTCTCTCCGCAGCTATCTCAGCTTACTTTCATGTGATTTTAGGGAAAAGTCGTGTCTTATAGATGGAAAAATGTGGTAATCTAGAAAGAAATCCTTTGCCCCACTATCAGCATATTGATCAATTCAGATATTACATAGGAAATATTCTGAGATCTCCATCAACTCTAGTTCATATTCAGAAGCAACATATTATTTCATACCACTGAGGCTATATACTCATACCACTGAGGCTATATACGTACCACCAAGGGATCAGCTGGATTGACTGTGCCTTATTCCAGATTCGGCAGATGAGGTTCTTTGTACAATATCTCAGGGGGGGAAAATGATTCAGGAGCAAAATATCCCACTTCTCCATTTCTATGAAAAGTAGCCATCGCAGTTTTATTTTACACCATGTTTTCTACTTGTGTTTTTTTTAGAAAAAACACGAAGATAGAAAACAAATAGACCCTCAGGTTTATCTTGAAAAAGTTTATCAGTATGTAACTTTTTTTTAATTTGATACATCTTAAAACATTGCCAGTTTTTCTGACAGCATAACACAACAAGAAATCCACAAGGCTTTAAACATGCTTTAAAATGACATCCAGCAATGTATGTAAAATTTAATAAATAGCATACAGTCACACACAAATACTTTTTGTTCATACTAAATCATTAAGCCTACTTAGACTAGCAAAGAATAAATATAACAGCAATTGGGCAATCGTTACCTTCTGAAATGATGGATTTCTTGATATCATTTAGTAATAGTAACCACCACCAGGTGGTTACTGAACTGAAAACAATGAATGATTTCCTCCCTGCTGGTGTCTTTTACACCAATAATATGATATAACAAAAATAAAAACCTTGAAATATACTGAATTCTTTTTTTAAAGCACATACTGATGCCAGGTAAACCAGCTTTTAAATACAATGAATAAATACAAAATTAGTGAAGCAAATTCAATTGCGGCAACAAACAAGAGGAAAAAGCAAGAACCCAAGAGAAGAGCCATGGAAATATTATAGATATTCATTGCTGTATTAGAGACTAGTATTTAAAGTGATAGTGCTTGTGCACTAAGCTCTTTAGAGACTTTAACATAGTTTTAGTGCAAATCCCTTTAAACCAAAGAAATTTAAGTCCCATTTGGGAGGATCCATTAGCGGTTCGAACATTTTCTAGAGTTACACGTACCTTTTAAAAAAACACACACATTATGTACAAGAATCAAATGCATATTTTAGCTGCTTCAGCCATCTATCTTCAAAGATAGACGAAATACTTCTTTGACTTTTTACATCTTATTTGGTTGTACCATACTAGACCAACTTATTAAAGTCAATGTTATAAAAGCTACAAAAGATTTTTTTTTGCCATCAGTTTATCTAACTGCTGTCTGAACTTTTAAAAGAAAAAAAAATATAGTATATTGGAGAAAATCTCTCCTCCCTCTGAAAAAGTTCACCATGATGACATTCAGTAATTAGACAAAATATTATAAACCACAAAAGAAAACAAAAGAATGTTTCAGTATAGCCAGCATTTAGTATTCAGTTAAAATTATACTGGCAATTGTACACTAGATTCCATTTCAAAAAAAAGGAATAAATATTCTGTACAAAGTAGCCTGGCAACCTGGAATGAATGGTAGGAAGCCAAAAGTGGTTGAGCAGCCATGTTTCTGTTGTGAATCATACTGTCATGTTAAACAAACCGAGGGCCACTTCCCATGTTACCTTACCCTTTCTTAATCCTTAAAGTGTGGGGAGGAACTGGCTACAGATGCATGCCTGTGTGATGCTTAAAATGCAAATATTCAGGCAAGCAAAGCTCCACAAAGCTCACCCATTGCTCACATGTATCACATATCACAAAGACTTAATATCTGCAGACACTGTCCTGACACAGGCTTTAAGAAAACACCTAGGAGAAAAAAAGTGGTGGTGGTGGGGGGAAAGCCCTCAGAGAATGACTGTTAGCGAATGAGGGAGAACAACAGATACAAATTATGTATACACACTTAGAAGAACTTCTGTTTCAGTTCCCCTTATGACAAATATCCATTCAGTCATGCACATTAAAATGTTAAGTCATGTGATTTGCCCTGGATTTTCTTTTTGAAACAAAAACTATTTTTTTCATTAATTATGAAGTACAAAAATCACCAATATTGCTCCAACTTGCATACACTTCCACCCATTCAATCAATGCCTAACAAAGTAGCAAAGCCTCATCCTCACTAGTTTCATTTTTCAGTGTTGCATCCAAGCAAGTGTCAGGTATCTGGCCAGTATGTACTATCCCACAGCGCTCGCAAGGGCCATCTCGACTACAGGACCGTCCTCCATTATGCGTTGTACTGTAAGGCTGTCTAAGCCCTTGTCCTTGGTCTGAGGTGAGATCAAGTAGAGGTCTTGAACAGTCATTCACATCAAAGTCTGATGCTGCATCAGAAACTGGAATTAACATTTCCACATCATCATCTTCATCTCTTCCTCCACCTACCACATTATCAAGCTGTCTCAAAGGACTTTGGTTCTGATTTACAGGACCTGATCTCCCTAAAGTGAAGCGTACCCACCGTAACCCTTGAGTCATGCGACTTAGTGCACTAGAGAACTGATGGCGTCCTGGACTTGAATTTGAGGGTTCTGCACTTGCTGTTTCTCTTCCATTGTCCCTATTACTGCTGGTACTCTGAGCTGAAGAGGTTCCACAGACGACGGCTGCTTCAACGGCTGCAACAGGAGGGACCTTTTGAGGCAAAGTGACGGCAACACCGCCAATGGCACCCGCTGTGTCTCTTCGTTCCGTTTCTGTGTCTGTGTCATCAGACTCCACTGCAAAGAGGCTTCGGTGAGAACCATTTCTTTCAGCTTCTCTGTTAGCATTCTGGCTGGCATTGTCATCTCCATCCGATGAAACCAGTGCCAGGGATCCTGAATGACGAGATCTTGCAAAATTAAAGATTCGATTCCAAATGTTACTTGACCGGCCAGCAATTGGAAGCCTAATAGAGGTAAATCCAAGCTGAGATCGCACTGCCAGTCTCAAATTTTCTAAAACAGAAGCCTGAAAAAAACAAAATCACAGATAAGTAAAATGTTTGGGGAGAGGGGATGTGCTATCAAATAAGATGCAGAATGCTTCTGTTTCTTTTCACATTAGATGGTATTCGTTCATATACAGTGTTTCCGTCTGAAAAAATATTAGCGTGCATACCAGCTTAGCTCTATCTTGGAAACTGTCATTTTTGATGTAAGAAATAGCATTTGGGACTACAAAATCATCTCTTGCTAAGAGAGTACTCTTGGTATTACTTTACTGGAAGCCCAGCCAACCTTTTAACAGTGAGCTAATTATCCACTTGACGTCGACAGGAAGGAGAGAATCTCTTACAATAAAAGCAGCTCTCAGAGTAAGTTTCATCCAGTTTGCCTACTCTTTCTAGTTGTAGATTCATTCAGTTCAGCAACTGCTTCTAGATGAGTATTGCAATTGAGCACCTGGCTCTTAATTCATCATATACATGGATAATTAATACTGTTAAGAATAGACTGATGAGTTTAATTAAAGATTAATTCATTAATTAAAGTTTTCCCACATTTAGGCACATCAAATCACTGGCAAGCTTTTCAAATACCTACAGGGAACATATAACCTCCCTGTTACAGCAGCTCCACTGGCTGCCAATCTGTTTCCGGGCACAATTCAAAGTGCTGGTTTTAACTCGAACGGCTTTGGTCCAAGCTATCCTGTAGTGATGTATGGAAGTGAGAGCTGAACCATAAAGAAAGCTGACCGCTGAAGAACTGATGCTTTTGAATTGTGGTGCTGGAGGAGACTCTTGAGAGTCCCCTGCACTGCAAAGAGAACAAACCTATCCATTTTGAAGGAAATCAACCCTGAGTGCTCACTGGAAGGACAGATCCTGAAGCTGAGGCTCCAATACTTTGGCCATCTCATGAGAAGAGAAGACTCCCTGGAAAAGACCCTGATGTTGGGACAATGTGAAGGCAAGAGGAGAAGGGGACGACAGAGGAAGAGACGGCTGAACAGTGCCATCGAAGCTACCAACATGAATTTGACCCAACTCTGGGAGGCAGTGGAAGACAGGAGGGCCTGGCATGCTCCGGTCCATGGGGTCACGAAGAGTCGGACACGACTAAACGACTAAAGAAAAACAACAAAAATCTGAAAGACCACGTCCTCCTCTATAAGCCTGCCCAGGCATTGAGGTAATTAGGGGAGGCCTTTCTCTTGGTCCCACCACTCTCACTGTTGCTTTTCCCAGACTCTGTAACTCCCTCCCATGGGAAGCTAGGCTGGCCCCATCTTTGCTGTTCTTCTTCAAGCAGGCAAATAACTTTCTCTTCAAGCAGGCCTATTCTTAATGACTGAGAGGCATTTTTAAGTGGATTGTTGTGCTCTGTGGTTTTAAATGTGTTTTAGTACTGATTTTATTTATGTCTTTTAATATAATACTTGTTTAATTCATTTTAAATATTTGTATACTTACTGTTTTTAGCTTTTGAATATTGTGTCTTTAATGATGTAAGCTGCCTTGGGCCCTTTTTAAGGAGAAAAGTGGGATACAAATATTTCAAATAAATAAATATGATGATGAATGCTAAAATGGGTTCCTAAACACTTTTATAGGCTGTCTGGATAGCTCAGTAACTTAGGCATTTGGTTGCCTAAGTTTGATTCTCCATTGTGCATCCTAGAACAGCCAGCCAGCCTGGGTAGCCTTGGGCAAGCTGCACAGTCCCCAGGTGGTTCCTGAAGGAGTAAACCTCTTCTGAGTACTCTCTACCTAGAAAACCCTGAAAAGGGTCACCATAAGTCAGAATTGACTAGATAGAACAAAGTTCTTCTTCTTAAATAGTTTTATATGGGGCGGAGAAAACAATAATTTGTGTCTGCACCTGCATATTTGTAAGAACCAAGAAAGAAATCAGGTTTTGTTTTCATAGCCATATAAATCCTTTGCCTGAGAGAAAGTCTCATGATTGCATCACTTGAAAAAACTGTATCTTTATTACGCTTGAATATGTGGAATTCTTGTAAAGTAGTTGAAATGACTTAAATGGAACTATACAGTTACTGTTACCTTTTGGAGAAGTAAACCAGTAGTAAAGCTAAATTTCACCCAAAGCTATGAATTAGCAGAACTAAGTAATGCATTATAAAAAATGACATTATCATGTAACACAATTCTAGGGAATAATGAGTGCATAACAACATAGTTTTAAATAAATAGATAGATAAATAAATATTGGCAATAGAGAGTATCTTAAGGTATAACAAGTAACTTTTATGTGTTACTCTTAGAGCAATGCCTTCTGGAAGTCATTTGGTGGATTTTTGGGCCATTTTAGTATTTAAAATGTATTTATTATTTAGAGTTATTTTTGAATTTAAGCTTTTACACCCCTATAACACATTAGTAACATGGTGTTCATATAACAAGCAACCAATAATGTTAATTGACTACCTTAAAAATAATATTAATAAAGAACAATGTTTCAAGAGATGTTTTTAGGGAGAGTTTTACACAGCAAGGTTGTTAAGCACCACCATGTGGTGTTAAAATATAGAAGTACAGTAAACCTAACAAACTGATTCAATGAGTTTCTTCAAAGGAAAAAAAAACAACAAAAGGAAAAAAATTAGCTGCAAAAAGCCAAAATTAGGACTTCCCCAACAGAGACAGCTGCACCAAAATCACGTAGCTTCTGCATCAATACTGGCCAGAATTCTATTATTTACGTACACTGGCATAAGTGCAAATTGGAGTGGAAAATGGCCACTAGTTACAAAATTCAGGCTTTTGTGTGCCAAGGATATTATGCAGTGCCTAATATATTATAAGACCATTCAAACATTGCTACAGTGAGTTAGAAGGAAAGAATTTCTAAGCAACCATTTGAAAGTTTTCAATGAAATGAAGAGTTGCCACTGATACGCAGATATATATTTTTTGAAAACTGTTAATTACTATGTAATATTGATGCAGCTGTTTCAGTTTGGCTTCAGCTTTCTTCAAAGGTTTCACTGCTTCTATCACATTGAGTCTGAGACTGAGAGATCTGCATAACTAGCAGGGACATGCCATTCTTTTTCTTGGCATGGGTGACTCAAACATCCAAGAATTCCCCAGGAGAATTCTGGGACTTGCAGTCTACAGACAACTCCATTTCTCTCATCCGGACCAGGACCTATTGCCAAGGCTAGATGGCTGTTGCTTCCCACTGTTAATGTATGTACGAAAAAGGAAGCTGCTGTGCTGCTTCCTGGAAGTTGTAGTTCTTTGGGAGGCACTGAGTTGATGACCCCCAGGAAGCACCATGGCAGCTTCCTTTTTGTGTCAGTGGGAGAAGAAATCCCATGATAAAAAGATACCAATTCAAATGCGTTGCTTCTCACTAATGAAAATTCAATTCCCTGAAAGAAAATGTGCCAAACGCAGCAAACCTATCTTATCAAGTTCAAGAATGGCTCCTATTGAAAAAGGACCTAAAATCCTTAGGACTTGCAAAATTTAAGATACTAGAAAGGCCAAACTAGCACCCTGAAACATGAATACTAATGGCCAGTTTAACTATTCCATAGCTAGTACAATAATTCATTAGAAGCCTTTTTGTCCCTAACAGACAAGACACATTTTGCACCTGAAAATATTACACTCCTAAAAAGAGCAATTTGGAATTTTGACATGGCAATATGTATAGAATGGATGTTCGTATGTCATTGTTTCTCCTTTTCCCTCTTAACCTCAATCCCTTTTTCCTTTCTGCCACCCTTTGTTAAAAGAAAATTTAAAAAAATATATTACACTCCTTTTCAACTGATTCTGCAATAGTCTGTCTCTAATGCAAGAGCCTTCTCCACAAGCTAACTGCAGTCACACAGACATAATCCACAGAAACACGTCCCAAGCCCCAGATCTTAGTGCATATACAAGGCAATGAAACAAGCTACCCTTAAAGCTGTGGAATATTGCTGCTCTGTAACAATTTAGACTTCCTATTCAGGGATAGGAAATCTTCCCAATATTGAGGGCCACCTTTCCTATGACTAATCTTCAGGGGTAGAAAGGGTGAGAGATGACAGAGGGAAGGAGACCCCATTCTCCTTCTGTCCTCATTGATGATGCAAGCTTGTTCTCCCCAAACAATTTGGGCTTAGTCAAAATATTCCACTAACACCACTGCAGTGCATGAGACTAGTTTTCTTCTCAGTTGCTATCCTTCTGAAAATGCTCCCCTTGCCACTGAACAATTAGGTTTAGGAATAAAAATTTCTATCAGCACTGACGTCTTTTCTCTCTCAACCCTATTCTGGCTTAGAGGAAACTAATATGTCTATCCAATACAAATTAAGCACAGATAATCCTGCTGTGGGAAAGAATTGGGTATCTAACTAGTAAAGTAATTCTG